CACCTGCCTGTCCCAGCACCTTGCCCCAGCACCCTGCCACCTAAGCCAGCATCCTTCCACCCAGCAGCACCCTCTCCCCAGCCCCCACTAGCACTCTGTCCCCTACCCCCACCAGCACATTTGGGACCATATTAGTGAGGCTTGGGGGTTTTTGGAGGAGCTTTTTTTTGTTTTTTGCATCTCACTTGTGTGGCCCCAACTGACTTTTCTGTGGGTCAGTGACCTTTGACTCAAACCAGGTTCCTCACCCCTCTCATATATAATGACAATGCTAAAACCTTTTGAGTTTGACATATTTTATTTAAAAATGAAGCCTGGCCAACAAGCCCCCAATTGGGACCAAACCCCCATTTCACTGCAACATCATAACACTCCTGCACCACCTAACCCCAAATCTGAGCCTATCATACACTGGAACCCCGTCCTGAGCCTCTTACATCCCCACACTCCTGCATCCCCACATCCTCAGTCTTCTGCCACAACATTCCTCCACCATCCACACATCACAAATCTGTGTCCTGAGCCCATCATACTCACAAACTTCTTGCCCTGAGTCCCTCACATATCCAGCCCAAAGTGCTGCACCCTCACAGCCACAAGCCCTGGGTTGCTCAGCACCCCAACCTTCCACCTGAACCCAACACTCCCCAGCCTGAAGCCCCCTCCCTGAGCCAAAAGCCCCTTCTCCTGCATCCAAATTCCCTCCAAGAGCTTGCACCTCTCACTCCTTCCCACACCCAAATCCTTCATTCCCACCCCAGAGTCCGCATCTCCTGTCTCAACCCAGCGAGGGTACGACTAGACTGCAGGAGTTTTTTCTGGGGTACCAGAGGTATCTCAGAAAAACTCTTCTGTATCCAGGGATGTGTTTGTTCTTCCGCTTTTTTTAGCGGAAGAGCAAACACACTCCCTTTTTTTGCTTGACAAACCTAGGGGTTCCTTGAAATTTTGAAAAGCTGAAAAGGGTTCCTCAGCCAAATAAAATTGGAAAACACTGGTTTCCACTGAAACTGGTGAAAAAAGTTTAAACTTTTGGATTCTTCTGAACAGTCAGGGCAAGAGAGGTTTCCTGCCCACCAGAACTGATAAGCACATTCAACTTTTACTTCAAGTCGACAGGAATCACAGGTATTCACAGCTCTGAAAAGTCACATCTATGGCTTTGTCTACACTATGCAGCTTTTAGTGATACAGTTGTATCATTACAGTCATGCCACTAAAAGTTGTGTGGTCTAGACAAAGCCAAAGTAATGTAGCCTCTGTTTGTTAGCTTTCCTGTGGACAAAGTGTTGTTCACACCAGCACTTGAAACAAAGCTTTTGCCTTTTGAGTTTTAGTTTATTTAAAACCTCAGACAGAAAACTTCTGTTGTTCAGTTGCCAATGTCATAGACATAGCCTGTTTTCTGTGAATAAACTGTGCACTATTCCCAAGGGCTAAAAGCAACATAAAAGGTGAAAGTGTCAACAATTTAAAAAAGCTAAAAACTCACTCACTGTCTTCTGTGGGCAGGACCTGCAGGGAATAAATCCATTCTATTATATCATCTTTGTTCACCACATCTAAGGAATCCAACATATCCAGACCAGAGAGTGCGAAAAACGCAATTGTCAACCTAAAAGAAAAAGATAGGACTTTCACTTCCCACCATAAATTTCACACAGGAGGTTAACAAAATTAAATGCAGAAAGGAAAAAAAAAATCAAAACCTCAACTTTTTAATTCTGGTTTTACCTGCTGCATGCAACAGTGTCCTTACTTTTAATTATATCTATATTCCAGAATGAAGCTCTTCATTACATGAATCACATCTCTGTCGGTATGATTAATGAAGTCTTATGTTGTGTTAAGTGTTCATGTTGGAAAGAAAAGTAAATCAAGCATAAAAAGCTTGCTTGTGGCAAGCCTCTGAAGATATGCCTGCACTGCAACAACACCTTCAGCTAGCCAAGGCCAACCGACTTGGGCTCATCGGGCTCAAGTTAAGGAGCAGTTTAACTACGGTGTAGATGTTTGGGTTCAGGCTGCAGCCCAAGTTCTGCAATCTTCCCATTTCCCAGCATCCTAGAGTCCAGACTGAAGCTGTGTCCAGACTCAGGGGTTTTTTCAAAAAAAGTAGCCTTTTTTCGAAAAAACTTCACCTGCGTCTAGACTGCAGCCGCATTCTTTCGAAATTACAAGTTCTGCAATCTTCCCATTTCCCAGCATCCTAGAGTCCAGACTGAAGCTGTGTCCAGACTCAGGGGTTTTTTCAAAAAAAGTAGCCTTTTTTCGAAAAAACTTCACCTGCGTCTAGACTGCAGCCGCATTCTTTCGAAATTAAATCGAAAGAACGCGGCTTTTCTTTCGACGGCGGTAAACCTCATTGCACAAGGAAGAACGCCTTTTTCGACGGAGATCCGTCGAAAATAAGTGAGTGTGGACATGGGGAGGCCATTTTTAAGAAAATAATGGCCTCCAGGAAGAAGCCCTGGTGGACAATCTGGGACATGGCTTGCATGTCTCTGGTTCCTGTCTGCAGCCATTTCTTAAAGGGACAGGCAC